CTAAATGTAGACGAAAAAATAACTAATTGCACAGTTGGATAAGAAATCGCGAGACGAAACTTTCAAACCTAATTAGTACATAATTAGACACTAATTGCCAAATACAAACGAAAGTACTACAGTAGCCAAAACCCAAAAATTTTACATCTAAACGCGCCCTTAACGGAAATTGTACTTTTTTTTGTACGTACTATACTCTGTTTGGTGCCATTGTCGCACTGTGCGTTCGTCAGTCCTCACATGTTTCCAGCTAGTACCGTGCATGCGTACAGCCATTCCGATCGTCCGGACTGTCGGAACGCACACAGAAGCCCGCTACCGACGTGGTAAGAGAAAAAGGAGGTGGAACTGGATGGATAGTACATAGCCCCAGGTGCCTTGGTCCGGTCGGTCGCTGAACCTTCACTCTCTGCTTCCTGGACTCGACACGTCTCGCGACGGGTGGCAACAGTGCGGGCGCGGGAAACAGGCATCTGCCCATCCAGCTCGCCAATGGCCGACGACTCGACGAGGCGACCACCGAGCGAATGAAGTAACGAACGATGGGAGGCGGGCATTTCTGGGGCCGTCCAGATCGAGATGCCAATGCCATCACCGCCACCGGTGGATGAGGGCCACGTGGCCATGTGGGAGAGAGAGGAGCGAGGGGCATGAACAACTTCTAACTTGCTACATTAGGCTAGTGCAGAGGCCGAGCGAGAGGGACGGCGACGGTTCCCGGTCCGACGGCTCCTCTCCCTCGAACGTGTCGGTGTTGTTCTATCTAATTCTTGTATGGACGTTAACAGACGCGTCAGTTCACCACGACGTTTATCGTCGGGACGGAGCGGAACACCATGACCGGTAGATGACGCCTGCGCATGGTTTCTAGTGACGAACAGGGCCGCGACATGGAACCGTCCTCTGTTGACATCTACAGTATCGGCGGGACCAGTATGAACGAGAAGAAGGACTCAATAACTCTGGAAGCCTTCTTCTCTCTTGTTCTTCTACTTTTCCTCCTCTGTAACCCGCGCTTTCCCTTTGCTTATAAAAAGGGAAGTAGGGCGCCCCACGAGAGATGGGGACAGAAGAGCACAACACGAGCACACGGCTGAGCGGCAAGCGAGCTCTCAGCACTCATTCACTCCTTCCACCAGAGACTTGGGATCCTCTCTCTCGCCTATTTGTAATCCCTATTGCAAACCAAGTGCCGGTAACACGAGCAGCAACGAACTGGACGTAGGGACGTTCTGCCCGAACCAGTGTAAACCCTTGTGTCCTCCGAGCACACCATCCGAACCAGACGTGCAAATATAAATTTACTCGTCGGTGGTCCGAAAACAGCGACAGGCCTGTCAGCCCACGGCCATGAATCCAGAAGATGATGATGCTGACATAGAAATATACACCTATTCTATTGGTATGTAATCCTTATTTTTATTTGTTTCATATGAATTTTAATTTTATAATTGTTGTGGTACTTAAATGTTGATTTTATGGATTGTTTTTCAGGGAGAAGATGATGATGCTGACATTGAATCTGAGGACTTTCCAAAGTTTGTGGTGGCAAGCAATTAGTTAGTATACTGGAACTATATGATCATGGATGGACCGGCTATATTGTATGGTTGATACTTTTAATGAACATGATATGTATTAATCATGTATAGTTATATGATGGTGGACGTCAACTTTAGAAATTAATATAGCATAAACATTATAAACATGTATGTTCTATTTTTTAGTAGCTCACGAGCTAAACAAGTCAGCTCAAGCTCGATAACAAGTCTAAGTCGAGCTATCTCTCTAACTCATAATATTAACAAACAGAGTCAAACTGACTCATTAGAGTAACGAGCCAACTAGAACTGGTCCAAGCTGAGCCGAGCTTGGCTCGATGTCGAGCCTTAGTAGCAGCCCGCACCGTGGCGGCGTACCCCGATCAAACGTTGCTTGAGACAGATGACAGGTCTCACCGGAGAAGCTCTAGGGAACGAGACAGCTCCCGGTGAATCCAAAAGCCGGCGAGGGCTACAAGCCTATGTTTGTGTTTTTTCAAAAAATCATTTGGCCTCTTCACTGATTAATTTCTAAACTAATAAACCTATCGGATGCTGATTTAATGTGAGAAAAAAACAATATCGGCTGACTCATAAGCCTCTTGATACCGTCGAAAAGGAATGGGCTGATTATCCCTACCCCGATGAGCAGCACGATTGCGTTTACCTTTGGCCATCTGTCCCCTGCCCCGACCGACCCACCCTGCCCTGTAGCCTGTACAGTACGCTACGCGCCAAGAGGGTGCAGGTTGCCGACGGGCATCCAGGAGCACAACAGACGGTGCTAGTGATGAGTACAGCGCACACGCATCGTTGATTCGTCCCGTCCACGGTCCACCGGTACCAGCCCTCATTCATTGCCCCATCCCCCGTCGGCATTGCATAGGCGTCCGGAAGGCGTAGAGACTAGTCTAAGTCTTCTGTCTTCATCCATCGGTTTGGGCAAAAAACTTTAATCCTTTTTATATATTAACGTCTTGTTTAATTCCTGCTCTAAAGTTTTATCCAATGTTTAACACCTATAAAGAGTATTAAATATAGACTAAAAAATAACTAATTATATAGATTACGACTAATTTATGAGATAAAAATTTTAAACCTAATTAGTCTATAATTTGACAATGTAGTACTACAATAAATATGTACTAATAACGAATTAATTAGACTTAATAAATTTATCTTACGACAGTAGTAGGACTTTCGTAATCTATTTTATTAATATTTTAATGTGACATTTGATGTGATATTAAGGACTAAAAAAATTATAGGGTGGCAGAGGAATCTGCTCTGCGCTTGACGGCTTGACAGAGTCAAGATAATCCACCGTCCAAATACTATTTTTTTAAAGAAAAAACAATGCACCGTCCGCCCACAGGATGACGACAGGACTGCACGCCCGCCCCCGCCCATACCTGGCCCTGACACCATCCCCCATTCATTGCACCATCCCCCATCGGCATTGCATAGGCGTCCGGAAGGCGTAGACTAGTCAAGTCTTCTGTCTTCATCCATCGGTTTGGGCAAAAAATTTTAATCCTTTTTATATATTAACGTCTTGTTTAATTCCTGCTCTAAAGTTTTATCTAATATTTAACACCTACAAAAAGTATTAAATATAGACTTAAAAAATAATTAATTACATAGATTACGACTAATTTATAAGATAAATTTTTAAGTCTAATTAATCATAATTTGACAATGTAGTACTACAATAAACATGTACTAATAACGAATTAATTAGACTTAATAAATTTATCTCACGAGTATCGAGGACCTCTATAGTTTATTTTATTAATATTTTAATGTGACATTTGATATGATATTAAGGACCTAAAAAAAATTTATAGGGTGGCAGAGGAATCTGCTCTGCGCTTGACGGCTTGACAGAGAGTCAAGATAATCCACCGTCCAAATACTATTTTTTTAAAGAAAAAACAATGCACCGTCCGCCCACAGGATGATGACAGGACTGCACGCCCGCCCCCGCCCATACCTGGCCCTGACACCGTTGCCGTTGCGCGGCACGTCCTCTGCCGGGCCTGGCTGAGTGGCCGGACGAGCTCGCGAGCCCCGCCACGCGGCCGAGGCCTGCGCGCCGTGGCACCACGCCTTTGCTCATCGGCCACCTCGTACCGTACTAATATTTTTTAGTCGGCTGAGCCGCTGAGGCTATAGGTAACGATTAAAATATTGTTTATTAATTTGTCACGAGAAAAAATACTATTTATTTTTAAAATAATATGACTTAGAGGATAAGTGAACGAGACTTATGTCATATCACCACGTAGTAAATTAGGAGTTGGCTAGTTGCATTGAATATGTAAATATTTACTGTTCTACGTCTTTGTAGCCATTCCACCAAATATTTACTGATAAGCATATCTAAAAGTATTGTTGGCTAATTTGGTGTAAAAGAAAAATACTATTCGTTGGCTGAAAAAAGTATAACTTATAAGCCAAACAAGCCCTACGGCCTATTGATAAATGAAATCCTTTTACAACTTCTTCTTCCGCTGTCCCAAAAAAATATATCGCTTGAGTTATGTGTAGGTTATTTTTTAATTTTAATTAAATTTATAGAAAATATTAATAATATTTATATATCTAAACAAGTTTACTATAAAAAATAATCAATAGTTAGAATAGAATAGTATCATGTTAAAATATGCTAATTTTAATCAAATTTATATACGAATGAATAATATTTCTCGAACTAAATAGGTATTATTGGATCTGTCATAAGATATACTTTTATAATATATTTAGGTACCATAAATATTAATATTTTTATCTATATTTGGTCAAACTCAGGCACTTTAATCGAGAATGCATTAGAATTATATATTTTTTTAGACGGAGGTACGGTGTGTATTAACCAATTATCTTTGGGAGGTGGCGATCTGGAGATTGGCTTTCAAATTTTATCCTTGGATTTGGCACGTAAGGGTTCATGAATCGATCGGGGGCGGATATGGTGAGAGGAGAGGGAGGCCTTGGCGCGCCGCGCGCGCTTGAGCGGAAAGGTGTGGCCGATGCATGCACAGCCATGTCTTGGACGTTGCAGTCTATCGTCTCAGCGACTCAGCCGGACGATAGACTGCGTCCGCTCCCTTGTCCAAGACTTGTGTGACGTGGGGGGGTACCTCTTCCGCGGCTGACAGCTGACCCAGCCTTTTGCTCTTATCCGCATCCGGCGCCGAGCACTGCACCGAGACGCCGTCTTTCGTCTCTCGTCTCTCCCCTTATAAAACAGCCGGCGCGAGCGTCCACTGCCTACATCCGTTCCTCACCGCCGACGACCCACCCGCGAGAAGAAGCAGAGCGCCGCCCCAAACCCAAAGACGCCCACGCCTCGTCGCTCGCTGGCGGTTGCGCCGCCTGCACGGCCCGCACTGCCTTCCTTCCCAGCAGCAAAGACAGACAGACAGACAGGACTACAGGAGGTGATCAGCGATCGTCATGGAGATGGAGGTCAGCGGCGTGCTATCATCGTCCGTGCTGTACGCGGCCATCTCCCTGCCGTGCGCGCTCCTCCTGCTGGTGGTCGGCGAGGCGGGCCTCCGCGTGGCGTCGCTGGCGCTCCGCGGGGAGATGAAGGCCTGGTGGCCCACACGCGCCGCGATGCTCGGCTACCGCGTCGCGCGCCCGGGCATCGACGGCCCGTCCGTGTTCCCTGACGACGACGAGCCGCCGCTGCTGCCGGCCGAGTACTGCGACCGCCTCGCCGTCGCGGTGTACCGCCGCGGGAAGGGTCAGCAGGCGGCGGACCCGGACTGCGCCTTCTGCCTCTCCGCGGTCCGCGACGGCGAGGAGGTGCGCGAGCTGCGGTGCCGCCACGTCTTCCACCGCGCCTGCCTCGACGCCTGGCTCGTCCGCCCGCGCGCCACCTGCCCGCTCTGCCGCGACCGACTCCTCCCCGCCGAGAGCGACTACGACGACCACCTCTCCTCGTCGTCGTCGTCCGCCTATGCCTACGCCCACGGCGGCGCAATCTGGCACATGACGTGAACGCGTTCCCTTTTGGTTCGATTCCTCCTCCATTTGGGGGGTTATTATTGCGTTAACCCTCCTGTTTCGTCGAGCTAGCCGTGCGTGCCATAGGATAGGATCCATCCGACCGACGGCCCCAAGTGTGTGGTGTGGCTCTGTGTCTGTATTCACTCGCCCTGGTAGACCTGCAGTTTCGCTGTCATTCGGCCTGTTCTCCGATGGATTTTTAGGTTGATAAGGCCGGCTGATGCCCGGCTGATACTGGTTTAAACACTCCTTGCTAGCGAACAGATCGATTGTCGTTTGGTCGGTCACTTGATTGCTCATCCATATGAGTCCGTGATGACGATGACCGTGATAGGAGTAACTGACAACGACGGCTCATCCGCCCGCGGCCGGCCTCTCTGTCTCTTGTCCGGTTCGCTTAGCTGAAAGAGCTCGTTAGCTGATTTGTCGTAACAAAAAAATACTATTTGATGGTCGAAAAAGTATAATTTATAAGTCAAATAAATAGGGCATCTATCTCGATCTCTTGTGCCGCCGGTCGCCCAGTGCTAGTGGTGTCCGGTTTGCTCGTGGCCGAACGGGAACGGCGCTCGGCTAGGCGTGCTGCGGCACGGTCGTTCGGTTTACCCTATTTGACTATATTCGACTTTTTTTAGTCGAAATAATATTTTTCTCTTATAACAATTTAACTAGAGCAGTGTTTTCAATCAGTTTCAGTCGAGATTTAGCAAGCCGAACGGGGCCGATTTGGCGCCGACGAAATCACTGTAGCTATAGTGACGTTTTTGTTTTTATTTGGTAATAATTGTCCAATCATTGACTAATTAGGCTCAAAACGTTCATCTCGTAAATTACAACCAAACTGTGCAATTAGTTTTTGATTTCATCAACATTTAGTACTCTATACATGTACCGTAAGTTTAGTGTGATGAGGAATCTTTTTTTTACATAGTATCAAAGTTGAGAATTTGGTGAACTAAACATGGCCGAAACGAATCAATTAGTTCAGCCTATCCATTTCATTGGCCGTCGTTTGCACCTGCACCCATCCCACACGACGTTCTCTGGCGCAAACAAACACAAAGGATACCGGACTTATCCCTCTGTTGCACGTCATGCTGCGCTCTACTGATCAAAGCATAGGATTCCGCAAGCATATTGTAGTGTTCTACCAATCCAAATATAGGATTCGGCAAACAAAATTACAGGCTAAAAACACTGATTGGACTGCATAATGTTATAGATAACACAGACATGAGCAGATGTCATAGTGACATGGAGTACACTACGGTCTCTAACACAATGCCGAGAATTCAGACATAAAAAGGTAAAAAAAAAGCAAGAGGAAGAGGTTTATACTGAGGACACGATGCTGCTTGGGCATAGAATTAAGACGTGATCCATTCGGTGGCGATTCCTCCATTTGATTATTAAGGGGATGGGAGAATTCCCTATGTGCCATTAAAAAAGATTGTAATATTTTGTGTGCATCTAAAAAAGTTCAGCGGTCTTTAGTGTCACTGTTCCAATTTTTTTATGCCCCTCCATGTCACTGGCGTCAGTTTAGACTTTAACGCCGTCAAACTGCAGGTGTGAAAAGTCAAAAATACCCTTAAGTCTAAATATGTCATTAATTTTTTTTAGCATTTTAACGACTTCAAATGAAAAAACTCAAAATTAGAAAGTTGTGGATCTCGTCGAGATCTATAATTTTTATATAAAAATTATCTTCATTTAATTCCACAAAAAAATATGATTTGATATGATTAATATATCTTAGAAACATCATATCTTTTTTTGTGGAATTAAATGAAGATAATTTTTATATGAAAATTATAGATCTCAACGAGATCTACAACTTTCTAATTTTGAGTTTTTCCATTTGAAGTCGTTAAGATGCTCAAAAAAATTAATGACATATTTAGACTTGAGGGTATTTTCGACTTTTCACACCTGCAGTTTGACGGCATTAGAGCCCAAACTGACAGTAGTGACATCGAGGGCACAAAAAAGTTGGAGCAGTGGCGCTGAAGACCGCTGAATTTTTCCATGGACACATAGGGCATTACGATCTTTTTTGATGGCACACAAGGAACTTTTCCAAGGGATTGATAGCGCCCGGACTCCGGACGGATGCTCACACCACCCGGACCGCACGCGCCGCCCAGCCAACCTATGACACGTGGAGACGGCTCATGCCTCGTGTGCTTTCCACGCGCATGCAGACAGGGACATTCTGCGCTCGCTTGGCAGCGCTCCAGCAAATGCGGCTGGCCGCTGTGGCATGTGGTCCCATTGCAACATATTTAACACCAGATCTAATTTTTTATATCTAGATAAAACACTTGCAATATACGTCCGAAACAGTTAAAACACTTGCAACATATTTTTGAAATAGTTGCAAAACACCCGAAAACACGTGAAAGCCATTGCAAACGAATACAACATCCAGATCTACTTTTATAACATACAGATAAAACAATTTAAACATACGTATGAAACACCTGAAACACTTGAAACATCCATGTTATACGACATCTAGATATACTTCTGTCACATCCAAATAGAACACTTGAAACATACATCAGAAACAACTGAAACACTTGAAACATATACTTGCAATATGTGTATGTAGCCATTGCAACATAGACAATCTCCAGATGAAACGCTTGAAAACATACTTCTCTGAAAAAACTTAAAAACATGGTGGCGGCGGCGACCACGGCCTACCTGGTGGGGAACTGCGGTAGCCAGCAAGCGATGCTCAGGTGCAGTGGAGAGGGAGGATGGCGGCAGACAAGCGGCTGGGCGTGGTGAAGAACGCCGCACCGGAGCAATGTGGCAGAACCGCCCAAATTATATAGCGCACGTGCGAGTGCCATTGTCTTACAAACTTCTGACTGTTGCACATGGGAGCGAAACAACTTTGGTAGTCTGTCGGGTGTCCTCGGGGAATCCCGAATCATGCACTTTATCTTTTCGAGCAGGATTCATCACAGAAGACAGTGCAACATTACAATAGTTTATACAAATATACAACTATATTACATCGGAATAAATACCATAAATCTTACAAACCATTTATTTAGTAATTACAAACCATAAGTTTTAGTGATGCTAAACACCAGGGGTGTTACAAGCAGTCGCCGCGGACCATGCTGCGTCGGCTCAAAGAACTCGGCGGTGAGTGGTGAGTGACGGTGGGGAGATAGGAAGGCAGGCAACGACGCTCGGGCGCGGTGCAGCACGCCGCCGTGTTTCGGCCGCCGGTAGCGCGGTCGTGGTGGAGCACGCCGAGGCAGTGCGGGCAAGGCCGACAATTTGAGAGTGGGTTCGAGAATGGATAGGGGCGCAATGGTTGAGAGGAAAAGTGACTGAGATTTTTTTTTATTTTGAGCAACACGAGATGGATGCGTCCGTGCATATGGTAGTGTTAGGCTATTCAGGCGGGTGTCGAGGCCCACCAACGCGCCTTCGAACGAAACGGATGCCCTACCCATAATATTTTTGGATTATTAAGCCTTCATAGTACAGATCTACAAGGACAGGATCTTTTATTCAACAAGAAAGTTAACACAAGTAAACTGCGATAAGGGGTATGGAAACATATAAACCCATCAAATTATATAACATGCCTCTACCAACTTTATCCAAGAACATGTTAACACAAGTAAACAGCAATAAAGTGCATTTTCAACCTTCCACTTGCACTAAAGTTCGATTTTCAACCTCAACTATGAAACCAAATGTCGGGCACCCTCCAATTGTCGAATTCGGACAAATTTGGTCCTCTAGTTAGTTTCAAAGGTGGTTTTCTATTATAAAAAATAATAAAAACTTATTTTAATCTCTAAAAATGCATAACTTATTTATTATAAATAAAAAATGTGAAACTAATACCATTTCTTCCCTAAAAACCATTTATTCATTGGTGATCTATTTGGAGTCATTTGAATCATATTTGTTCATGGTTCTAATAAACCAATCCACAAGCAATAAAAGAATAGGAACAAAATTAAATAAGTTCCAAATTATTGTAAATATATCACCAATAGTTAGATAATATTTTTAGGAAAAATGTTATTGGTGTCGGGTTCATAAACCCGGGGTCCCTCATGGACCGACTTCCAACAAAGGCTCGGCCCAAGCAGACAACGTTGCAAACGACGAACCCCTGCTTACAGCTCCTCTCCGACTGGCGCAATCAGAGCCGATTGGGACCGACCAACCGGGGACGCCCGCTCAGTAAGGACCAGGAAACGGACGAAGAAAGTAAGGCAGGGCACTCAAGTCAACCGCAATACCAATGTACGTACCCTATACACCTATAGGACAGTACCCTGCGACCTCCCTGGCATGACATAACCGAAGCAGTGTTGTAGGCACCGACATTTCCCCTACAGTGTTGTCTATCGTGAGGGGGTGTGCAGATGCTATCATCGTCTGTGTTGTACGCGACCATCTCCCTGTCGTGCACGCTTGAAAGCTCTAGTTTGGTTTTGGTTAATTGATGAAATCCTAAGTGCTAACCTAGTTTATCAAAGTGATTATGAGATAGGAAGCACTACTCCAAGTGATGAAGCAATGACAAAGATCATGACAATGGTGATGGCATGGTGATGATCAAATGCTTGAACTTGGAAAAGAAGAAAGAGAAAAACAAAAGGCTCAAGGCAAAGGTATAAATGATAGGAGCCATTTTATTTTGGTGATCGAGACACTTAGCGAGTATGATCACATTTAGGATTGATAGCCGTACTATTAAGAGGGGTGAAAGTCGTATCAAAATGCGGTTATCAAAGTGCCACTAGATGCTCTAACTCATTGCATATGCATTTAGGATCTAGTGGAATGCTAACACCCTTAAAAATGTTTGTGAAAATATGCTAACACATGTGCACAAGGTGATACACTTGGTGGTTGACACATTTGAACAAGGGTGAAGAAGTTAGAGGTGAAATGGAGTTGGTCGCAATGATGCTGGCGTCGGTCTATTAACCGGACGCTGGGTC